ATTCCCTTTCACCCATGAACATTTCATTCATGCCAATTAGACGCAAATAATGAGTAAGGACTGATGACAGTGTTGTGGAATTTAATAACGCACGCCAAATGGAAAGAAAAAAACTCCTGCATTTGGCGATTTTCATCACCAATTATCACAGCAGAACAGTTTCTCAAGCAGTTTGTGATGCATTTTGGAAACAGGAGATGAGCCCCTGGTCTAATGCGCCACCTGGCTTGAGAAACCCGTTCTTGAGACTTAGCACAAGTAATCTGACTGCCTCACATGAGCTATTTCAATCTAGATTCATTCCAAGATTACAGTGAGATTAATCTAGATGAATAATCTATTATTATAATTATACACAGATTAATGATTAGACTAAATAACTTATCTATGTCCACCTATAATATATGTATTCCCGGTAGAGCCCTGCATTTGAGCCCATCTTTTTGATGCCTCTAGGGCCGAGCATCAAGCCAATTTTCACGTCATACTGTAGCTAGCATACATATGGGGCTTCGGGCCTGCTTTAGAAAAAGTTGAATGTGTGTGTTGCATGTGTGTACTATGTGGGTTTATGTTTGGATATGAGTTTGCGTGTGTCTCTAGGCGTGTCTCAGTGTGTGTGAGTTTGAAAGAGAGTGTGCGCGCGCGAGTATAAACCTCCAATATTGCTTTGTCGTGCTATTAATACAGGGCTCGAAATTGCGACCATTTTGGTCGCATATGCGCCCGAAAATTAATCTATGCGACCTCATAATATATATGGGCGCATTAGTGCGACTGCAGATGATGGTTGTAGTGCGACCTGTTTTGATTTTTTGTAAAAACGTGCTGAATCGCTCTTCCCTGCCGCTATATTGGTTCATATTAGCTGTCAATCACTCAAGGTATTCCCGCTGTCAGATGACAGGGAAGGAGCTTTTATGACCACGGGAAATGCAAACGGCTGAAGAGTAAAAACTTAAAGCACACAAGTTTGCAAACCCCACCTAAAATTGAGGCGCAGATGAGAGCGATCATGACACGTCACGTGGTGAATAATGATCCACCAGCTGAGATCAATCGAGTACGCGCTTCTTGGAGAAGGCGCCCGAATCTCATGCGTTGCATTCACAGCGTGTTCAGCGCAAATGTCCGCTAAAAGTCAAATCTAATACTGTACATATAATCGCCAAAGAAGCTCGCCTTTACTAAGTTTACACTGAAACTGCGGCTCATAACAAAGACCGGTATTGCGCCGATGGTTAGCGCAAGAATCCTGCTCTGCCTGCTCATAAATTGGGTCGGCTGACTCGCCAGCTTTCCACTAACACAGAAACATGAAGACCATCCCAGACTGAACCTTTAAATTGACACAAACTGAAACCAAAACTTTTAAAGAGTGATAGAAGTGAGACTTTACTTACTTTCTCTTGTCTATTCTTGTTTGAGGTGTATAATATTTTTTTATTTATTTACTGATGACTGCTTTGCAGCTTTCAGCATTGAATTGAATGATTTATTATAATCTTTTGTTTGTTTTGTAGCAGAAATATTATGTATTAAATTGACATGCATATAAAAACAGCAGTACAAAATCAATATTTCTTACTGCAATGCTTCATTTTTGTTTGATGCAAACTATACAATTATTTTTCATAAAGTAACAGACTTTTTATAGCAGATAACCTACATTCATGCACATTCAAGGCAGCATCATAATGAGAAATGGAATTCATTGTTACTATTTTTGTCATTTTCATCATCATTAATATTCTATGGCCTAATTATTAGACATTCATTTTAGAATTATTGCACACAAATATCAATGTCTTCGCAGCATTAGTTATAGTTGTTTCTGGTTTTTGTCAGTCCTATTGATGCTGTTTTAAAATACAATAAATCCCTTAAAAACAATTTGCAGCGGTGCTCATTCATTTTTGGTGGGTGCTCCTAAATTTTTTCTGGTGCTACTAAAAATTTTTTGGTGCTCCTCAATATTTGAAGTTGGGAGCACCGGTGCTACCAAGTAAAAAAGTTAATTTCGAGCCCTGTAATATTACCGTCTCCAACTTTTAAAAATATTTTGTGTGCATGTTGCATGTGTCTGAGTGTGTGTGAGTTTCAGAGTTTGTGTCTTTGAGTGTGTGTGCACGTTGCATGTTTGTGAGTGTATATGTCTGAGTTGGGAAAATGTGAGTGTGTATGTTTGAATAAGAGTTTGTGTGTTTCTAGGTGTGTGTGTGTGTGTGTGTGTGTGTATAAATTTTTTATTTGCTTTGGCACTAATTCAAGTAATATAACCCAAAGGTCTTTGCAAATAATAAACACCATTTTAATTTACTGCATAATAGTTTAAAACGTACCTAACCACGCGTTTCATTTGTAATCTTACACTGCATGTAAAACAGTGCTTAAAAACATTCCAGCAGTGAAACAGGGCCCTCTGCAGGCTGAACACACAATCATCAGTGATGCGGTTTGGAAAAAAGAGAGAAGAAGTGCATCACATCAAACAGGAAGTGCACACGCCGTACTATACCAGCTCTCGGTGCAACACAAACTGCACCAGATCCTGAGAAAGACACAGTTTTAGTTACAAAAACACAATCAGCCAGATAACAACATCCCGTCACACACATTCAGCTCGTTTAATACGACTCACCTCCAGCACCTGCACCACATTTTCATGCTCTCTTTTAGCAAATAGCTGAGCCTGTGGAGACAGAACATCAAAACACACACAAACACACACACACACATGAACATCTGATTGACCATGACAACATCTGCATAGCAGACCTATATCTCTGAGAAATCTGAGGAAACAATGACATCAACAGAATATCAGTTTACATGTAGTAAAGTCAGCATGTCGTTTAGAAGATGGGGAAAAGGTATGGAACAAAATCAATTCAATTCAGCTTTATTTGTATAGCGCTTTTACGATGTAGATTGTGTCAAAGCAGCTTCACTTAAATGGTCATAGTAACTGGATCAGGGTACTTCAGTTTTTAGTGTTTAAGTTCAGTTCAGTTTAGCTCAGTTCAGTGTGGTTTGTAGTCATTATTGAGAGTCCAAACACTGAAGAGCAAATTCATCGATGAGTAGCTCTTCAGAACCATGCACGCCAGTGGCGACAGCAGAGAGGGAAAAAATGCCAAAAGCATTGAAGTACAGCCCCAAATCAGGAAAAGTTGAGAAAAAAAGTAGTGATTTCTAAACTGACTTTGACGTGTATTTCACTGCAGACAACACAACAGACAGTAGCCCCTTTCACACAGTGATACCGGTAAATATCTGGAAAATTTCCAGAACGACTTTACCGGTATATTCAAAAAAGTGCTGTTCAGGAATTACGGACGTTACGGAATTTTTCCGGAAAAGAGCATTCACACATCCATTCCAAAATACCGGTAAATTCTGACATCATTTACATTTACATTTACATTTAGTCATTTAGCAGACGCTTTTATCCAAAGCGACTTACAAATGAGTCGCTTCATCACATCATTCACCACAAATGAGCTTTAAACGGCTGCGCTTGTATTTGTAAACATTTGACTAAATTACAAACTCTGTGGATGATCAATATTGTGAACAACTTTCGTAGGATCACTTTCGCATGTCGAGATGTTCATAATATGTGTGTGTGCAGGCGCTCACAGCCTGTTTCATAGGCACACGCAAAGCTTGAAGGTAAACAAACAACGGCTTATCATAAGCATCTCATCGATTATTATTTACACAGTTGGCATTAAGATGAACATATAAACGTTATCTGACTAACTTCTAGCAGCTAAATGTGTCTGGAAACATATTCAAAGGCTTTTATCCTCATAAACCGCGCGGACATAAATGCGTCTGACTGTTCTGATTGGCTAAAGTAGACGTCTCACGTCAGCACGTTCTAGACGTGCACGCGCTTATTACGGTAATCTTCCTTCTGCATTCACACAGCGCAGCATTCCGGCAAATTACCGGTAATGTTACAACTTCTCTTTCCGGAAAAAAGCCAGAACGAATTTACCGGTATTTTCAAAAAGGACCTGTTCACACATACAACCTTTCCGGAAAATTGCCGGCAATTTTCCTGGAAAGGTCTGCATGTGTGAAAGGGGCTATTATTTCATGTGTTCATCATGATTTTAATGTTTGTTTGTTTGTTTTTTCTCAAAATAAACTTGTAATCCAATTTTAGTTCTTGCAACATATTTCAAAAATAAAGTTAATAAAGACAGTAAAGCATTTATCACTTTGCAATGTTGCCGTTCCTTTTCACAACACTTAAAAGACGTTTAGGGACTGAAGACACCAAGTGATGTTTCAGGTGTCATTTTGTCCCATTCTTCCTGCTAACAAGTCTTAAGGTGGGCAACAGTACGGGGTCTTCATTGTCGCATTTTGCGCTTCAAAATGCACCACACATTCTCTATAGGAGACAGGTCAGGACTGCAGACAGGCCAGTCAAGTACCTGTAGCCTCTTCCTTCACAGCAGGACTTTGTAATGTGAGCAGCATGTGATTTTGCATCATCTTGCTGAAATATGCATGGGCGTCCCTGAACCGAAGGCAGCATATTGTGCTCTAAAATGTACTTTTCAGCCTTAATGATGCATCACAGAAGTGCAAGTTATTTATTTTTGCCAACGGCACTAACACAACCCCAAACTATGACAGATCCTGGCTTTTGGACTTGTTGCTGGTAACTACTTTTCCTTTCTTATTGGCATGCACAGATGAATTGTACACCACAAAACTAGCAGTGTGAGTTAACGAAATCAGCATTAATAAGAGTGTGTGCGGCACTGACCCGCTGGAGTCTCTTGATTTCATCCTGCTTGAATTTAAGGATTGCCAGCGCCTGTTCATGCTCCAGTTCCAGCTGCTGCCTGCGCTCGGTGACCTCTCGCATGTGCTACACACACACACACACACACAAACATACACATACACACACACTTAGACCACCAAATCATCTTCTTCAGTAGTTTTTTTTTTATAATAATTTTTTTTTTTTTTCACCTTTTATTGGAAAGAACAGTGGAGGTTACAGACAGGAAAGCATTGGAAGCAGAGAGAGGGGAAGGCTCGGCAAAGGACCTCGAGCCAGGAATTGAACTCGGGTCGCCGTGAGCACCATGGTGCTATATGTCGGTGCACTTAACCACTGGGCTATTGGCACCGACCTTCTTCAGTAGTTTCATTTCATTCATTCATTTCCTTTTCAGCTTAGTCCCTTTATTAAATCTGGGCTCGCCACAGTGGAATGAACTGCCAACTAATCCAATACAAAAACTACGGACAATTTAGTTTACCCAATTCCCCTATAGCGCATGTGTTTGGACTGTGGGGGAAACCGGAGCACCCGGAGGAAACCCATGCCAACACGGGGAGAACGTGCAAACTCCACACAGAAACGCCAACTGACCCAGCCGAGGCTCGAACCAGCGACCTTCTTGCTGTGAGTCGACAGCACTACCTACCTAATTTGCAATCCAACAATTTCTGTCATGTCAGGATCAGATTTTTACCTGTTTGTAAATAGTTTAAGGCCTTCAAAAGAGTCTTAATTACTTTTATTAACTTAAAAAAAAGATGCATCCATTATTTTTTAATATCAATGTTCATTTCATATTTGTGTCTTTTTAGACTCGGATATTTGTACAGTATGAATACCCTGTAAAAGGCTAGACAGTAAACATTACTTTAAGTGCACAAGATAAAATAAGCAACAATGTTGATTTTTGAAAGCAGCACAACAAACACACCCTTAAAGAGATAGCTCACTCTAAAATTAAAATGCTCTTATTGTTTACTCACACTTAAGTGGTTCCAAACCTTTATGAGCTTCTGTAGAACACAAAAGGAGATATTCTGAAGAATGCTGAAAACCTGTAATCATTGACTTCCATAGTAGGACAAACAAATACTATGGAAGTCAATGGTTACAGGTTTCCAACATCATTCAGAATATTTTCTTTTGTGTTCTACAGAGGAAAGCAACTCCTGAAGGTTTGAAACAAGTAAAGGGAGAGTAAATGATGACAGAATTATTTGTTTTGGGTAAACTATCCCTTTAAACTCAACAAGACTACGCCCCTTTTTGGTAACTCAGCTACTTTTACGAGACACGCCCCTTACTGCTGATTGGCTCCAAGTGTGTTTTGGCACTCAGTCTGACACTGATCAAAGAGTTTTTCAATATTATTATTATTTTATTATTAGATTTAATAATATTTCAATATTTTTTTAAATATTTCTTAGTGCACCTTTAATGTCAATAAAGTTTAGTTAACATACATAGCTTTTTATTTACATCAAACATGCACCAAAATTGGGACTGAAATTTGTATTTACAGTATATACAGTTAAAGGCAGAATTATTCACCCCTCTGAATATTTTTACAGTAATTTCTGTTTAACGAAGATGTTTAAGATGTTTGTCAACACATTTCTAACCATAATAGTTTTAATAACTCATCTCTAATTACTGATTTATTTTATCTTTGCCATGATGACAGTAAATAATATTAGACTAGATATTCTCCAAGACGCTAGTATTCAGCTTAAAGTGACATTTATAGGCTTGACTAGGTTAATTAGGGTAAAGTTAGGGTAATTAGGCAAGTCATTGTTTAACAGTGATTTGTTTGTAGACTATCAAACAAATATTGCTGAAAGGTTCAAGACACCCTGGAGTACCTTTTGTTTGAATTTTAACAGAATTGTTTGTGATGAGCATCAGTTAAGACAACGTTAGCACCTGTTAGCTTTATCCTGCGGTCACACTAGAGTTTGTGTGTGAAATTCTGTATTATGTCACTACGAAAAGGGGCGGGATTAAACAAGATGATTAGACATTAAAAAAAGAGATTGATTGATCCATGTTTTAAATTTCTGTCCAGCAAGGTCATGTTTTGATCTTGGAGTGGTCTCACGCAATCATGTACTTCAGTTTCGCAGGTCAGAGTTCACCAAGCTTGAACTTTCCAATGCAGCGAACTGTGAAAACTTGTTGCACAAGCTTGCGTTTCCGTTCTGATGCATTCAGGGCCGGTGCTTCCATAGAGGCGACCTAGGCGGCCGCATAGGGCAGCAGAATAGAGAGGGCGGCGTCCCCGAAACTACCCTCACCACCCGAGCCCTCATCCGCGTCTAGGGTGGCAGAATAGAGAGAGCAGCGTCCCCGAAACTATCCTCGCCACCCGCGCCCACAATTATATCCGCGTCTAGGGTGGCAGAATATAGAGAGCAGCGTCCCCGAAACTACCCTCACCACCCACGCCTCAGTTATATCCGCGTCTAGCACGACAGAATAGAGAGGGTGGCGTCCCCTAAACTACCCTCGCCACCCGCGCCTCAGTTATAGCCGCGTCTAGCGCGACAGAATAGAGAGGGTGGCGTCCCCTAAACTACCCTCGCCACCCGCGCCTCAGTTATAGCCGCGTCTAGCGCGACAGAATAGAGAGGGTGGCGTCCCCTAAACTACCCTCGCCACCCGCGCCTCAGTTATAGCCGCGTCTAGCGCGACAGAATAGAGAGGGTGGCGTCCCCTAAACTACCCTCGCCACCCGCGCCTCAGTTATAGCCGCGTCTAGCGCGACAGAATAGAGAGGGTGGCGTCCCCTAAACTACCCTCGCCACCCGCGCCTCAGTTATAGCCGCGTCTAGCGCGGTTTCACTTTAGGTTTGAGGGCGGCGTGACTGTCCTTTGCCTAGAGCGGCAGTTCAGCTTGCTCCGGCACTGGACGCATTCATGTGCGTATAAATGGAAGTCTATGTGGAGTAAAGTGCAGTGTGACCGCAGCCTTAATTGTGGGGGAAAAATAGAACATTTTAAGCTTTTTGCTTTCCAAAGGCAAAGCAGACCTGCCAAGATGTGAGACCTAAGGACTGGGTGAGACTGCTTCTGCACGGCACAGGTCGTATGTGTTTGTTTCCATGATCCACGTATGAGGTTTGTTGCATGTGTCTATTTCCCCGCACTGCTGTCAGGGCACATACAGCAAAGCTGTTGGTTTACAGCAAGCATTTTTGTCAGGAGAGCTGTATGAGAATTGAAGAATGGCGGACTTCGTTTTTTATCCGTTAAGTTTGTTACCATTCAGACACGTCGCCTCCATCTGTGCTGCCGTGTTCGCCATGTTTAAAATCCTCCAGATTACCGGCAGGGCTAATGGTTGGAATAGACAGGGCAAGAGACCTGCTGCACTGCTATCCACTGTGGCTGCATTCAGACCAGGGAATTGAGGAGGAGAGAAGTCCTCCTCATTTATATTGTTTATATAAACACGATTATCTTTATGATGATATAACAGATTGTGATTATGTGTATATGAAATTACCAATAACAAACATTACAGGGCATTAAATTACTGTTTATTTCTTTGCATTTTAACTTGGTAAACTATAAAATCATGGGTCTCCTCACGGTTTGTGTCTCATTTTGTGAGCCGACTGACAACAGTTGTTCGCTCTCCCCTTTCTGCACTGATCTGCTGGCCACGCCCACTCCACCCTCCATTATTAAGCATTTTTTGAGAAAAATCTGAGGTAGACTTGAACCGAAAAAGGGGGGTTTCATGGCCCTTTAAGGGGGCTAATAATATTGTCCTTAAAATGGTTTTAAAAAATTAAGAACTGCTTTTAATCCAGCCGAAATTAAACAAAGAAGACTTTCTCCAGAAGAAAAAATATTATAGGAAATACTGTGAAAACTTCCTCAATCTGTTCAACATCATTTGGGAAAGATTTTTAAAAAAGTTCACAGGATGGCAAATAATTTTGACTTCAACTGTATAACATTGATTACTGAAACACTGATCGTGTTTTCATACAAAAGTGAACATTTATATATATTTATTTTTTTTAAAACTTCTGTATTACTTTAATTGATTACTATTTCAGTGCTTTATTAGAACTAACAGGTCTCCTAAATTGTGAATGCAGTGTCTGTAAATGTACCTTTAGGACCTGCTCTAGGTTCTCCAGCTTTGCACGGAGTCGCTGGTTCTCCTCCAGAACTGAACTATGCTGAGCGCTCAACACACAGAGCTGTTCCTTTAGCTCCTCATTTTCAGCCCGAGACTGCAGAGAAGCACAATCACTGTCAGTATGCAGAGATTCAGCCGTCTGTTTCAATACCAGTACACCTTTCACAGCTCACTATGGACTCTTTTCACCAGACTGCTATCAGAATTTCTGCATGTTTCAAGGCAAATTTAAGACTTTTAAAGACCTATTTAAAAACATTATGAATGAAATTTCTGACTTGAGTGTTATAGACTGATTTCATGCGGCCGCCATTTTCAAAAGCGAAATCGAGGCTGCCGTGGGAAGAAACCCGGAAGTATCATTGGGACTTACATAGGAATGTTGTGTAGCTGGCTGTTTATCTTATCAGCGAAGATAAAGTGACACAATTTTATCATTTCTCCGCCTTCCGGGTGACCCGAAGGTCCGTTTTGAATGAATGGTGAATGTAAAAAGGGACATCAGAGCTCATTTTCAGCTAAGTTAAGGGAAATGGCACTAGTTAGCTAACGTTTTCTTTCCCAAACACACGTTTTAGATGCCATTTATCAAACTAGAGTTAATGAACTGATTCTTTCACTATATTAGACTCGTCATGATACTGAATTAAAAGAAAGACCGGCAATTTCACGCTAACATTTAAGGCACTGTTGATGGCGTTCTTAAACAGCGCTGATTTGCCATTGTGTTCACGTGTTCAACAGAAATGATTGTGATTGGCCGAGAAGGTCATCAGTTCACCCACCGCTGTATACTGAGCACAAACACAGACGAGCCGAGCGATCTGCTTGATGACTCGACTGATCTTGACGGCTGCTTCGCGCTCCAGTCCGTGTATCTGTGTTTGCACCGGGTGAAGAGCGGTAAACTGAGTGCAAACCAAACACAGATACACGGAGACTGAAGTGCGAAGCCGTGAAGATCAGTCGAGTCATCCGTGCTCAGCAGCGCTTCCATGTTAGCGGGAAATAGCCGGGTTTAAAACTTC